CAGCAAATGTCATGATTTTTATCAGAGTCAATATCTTCGTCTAGCACACGATCTCACCTCTGGCTGTTCTTCAGGAAATAAGAACTTACCTGAAATTCATTATTTCTTCTGCTTAATCACTTTTTGATTGCTTTAAGAAAAGTCCAAGTCTAACTCTTGGTTTGTTCTACAGCCAAATGCTTTCGAAGGCGATGCTGTAATTATTTGATTTGTGTAGAACTAAGATTGGAGTTGTTCTGTAAAGCAGGGAAAATACTTTGTCTGCAGTGCTGCTCAGCTCTGCCTTCACAACCCAATTTAACAACTAATCTGAACATTCTAATTTTTTTCTTACTATGGATAAAATTTCGTGTGATTTGAAATCACTGCAAGATTTGTGTGGATTTCCTTTGCTCCCTGACCACTGATCCCTTTATAGGGAAAAAAATTATATCTTTGATAAAAATTTCTTTGATAAAGCACTCCCATACAGAATTGGATGTCAGAAGTGACTCGTGACTTGGACAGTCATGTATTGGGGAGACTTTGTATTATGTTAAGAAACTAGTTAGTACTGAAGTGAGGTTATTTCTCTGGCTGATATTTTTGTCTTGTGCAGCGAATGAGTGACATTTTAATACAGGGTCAGTATTCCATAATGAATGCTTTCAGTAGGAGTCCACTCTCCCATTAATTACATCGGAAGTGCCTTGAAAGTACCACAAACAAGATCAACTTTAAAATTGTAGATTTCAGAAAAGTAAAAACATATATTACAGTATCCTGTTCCTTTATTAATTACTACATTTCCATAAAAACTAAATTAAAAATAGATGCTTTTAGAGGCAGTTGTTCAGATTTTGAATCCTGAGAATGCATTGGTTGTTTGTTGGGTTTTTTTTTCCCTCTTCTGTCCATTGCCTTCTTGTTTTCCTCCCAGGTGCCTTCTGTTTTGTTTGCTCCAAGCCATCTCATGTCTCTTCTGACACTCGGGATCAACTCTGCCATGGTGCTCGACTGTGGATATAAAGAAAGCTTGGTGCTGCCTGTATCCTTTCCTAATGCAGAATGAAAGCTTTCAGCAAGAAGGTTGTGATGAAAAGCTGGTGTACAGACATGGAGTGTGACTGGATCAGCTGATCCAGCTTTTGTTTCTAAGATGTCAGAACCTGGGGAATGTCACAGCTGCCATGTGAAGTCTGTGTCCTGTAAAGCTTGGGAAAGGCGTTACGGGGCTCCAAGGTTGATTTGTAGCTCCATGGTTTGTACAGTAGTAGTTAGTTTTGGAGAAGGACAGCAAGTGCAGGAAAATGTGGATGAGAAACAGCGTTCAGTTCCAGCAGGCTGGAAGCTCCTGTGAGAAAAAGAGAATTTCCTGATCTTGGTGCAGATTTATGAGGGAACTCCAATTCTGAGCTGCTGGGGTTCTCTGCCTTTGGGAGGAAAAGCCATCCACAGGTAAGTTTGCAGCTACGTGTCCCTGCTTATGGCAATCCAATCTCCTTCAGTCTAGATTTAAGAGTGTAGCTGAAGTGAGTGAATGGTGTATGATAAGCATAAGATGGGGAGCAATCATGTGTCGCTGGCTGTCTTGACCTGACTTAATTTGCCCTGTTTCAGGGAGCTGGAATACCGGCTG